TCGTATGATCTTGACAAAGTCTGCTTGATTTCATTGAAAATGTATGAAGGTTATCTCTGTATTTTCAGGTGCAAGAAGAGGAATTTGTGAAAGTCATTTAGTGACAATTTTAGAAACAAAGTCCTGAACTCATACCTTGCTTGCACATTTCTTTTAAAACAGCAGTAAATTCAGCAATACTTTGCAGAAAGCATAAGCTTTAGACCCTCAATAGTCTAATAGCAATAGAATAGTAAACTGAACGACAAAAAAGAATGATCTTCAATTATCTTCTTCACATTCATTCCCAGTTGTTCGGCTTCACTGGTCATGTGCTTCAAAAACGTGTAGCCTATATAATTATTGGACTGCAGATTCCATCCTTAACATCCAGTAATTTACTCCTGCTGTGCCGGACAGTTTATTGATGTACTAATCAAATGTACGTCCTTCTCAATCAGAAGATTCTCAGTGGCTGATAATAATGACTTTAAACATCCCAAAACAAAAGTGTGCAGTCCAGCATTTATTGACACCAACTGTAGGTTACCTTTGACCATGCCTGCATGTGCTTTGTCAGCTATAAGCAGACTGAGTGTTTGAATCTCAGACTCTGCTACAACTAGTGTACTGATTTGTCCAGCTGAAGCTAATATACTGTGTCTGGTCTTATCTTTTATCCCACCTGTTATTTTACCAGTCTGGTACCACAATCTTGAAATCTTATCTCCCCTTTATTAAAATGTTAAGTTTCATCACACACACAGCCCAATATGACAAGTGGTAAAATTGTACAAAGAATCTTCTTAACCAAAACATTTCTTAAATAAACTGCGTAATTGATGTTACAGAGGGAGCAGGGTATATTTCCACAGGAATGAGCTACAAAGTCCTGGTTTTTCTGTTAAAAATTCTGTCCTCACCTCCAAATATAAACTTGAAATGTCCCCAAGGAAGATTTTTCTGTAACACCAAGCATGCAGGGAAGAAAATGGTTTAATTACCCAGCTGACTTCTAAGCTGGAGCTTTGCAGGGCAAAGTATTACTTGATGGATCTTCTATCAGCCAATGTTGGAAAGTTAATTGTGATGAAATAGTTGTGCATAAAGCAACTTGATCTTGTTTTACATTTTTCCCAGTGCTGAGTGTTGATGAGAAAAGCGTTTTGGGAAAATAAACACCCACCCACGGCTAAATTAAGCTTCCAGGTGTTTCTCAGTATAACAGGTCAGAAGAAAAGAGTGAGGAGGCACTAGGACCTACTGCCAAGTGTTGGCAGTAGGTCCTAGCAGGACTGATGGATGCTGGTGTCAACTCTTTATCTGTTGTGCTGCATTAACACCTAAACTGTCAACTGTTGCAAGCAGAAACAGGACAGTTTGTGCTTTGTTTTCTTTTTGCTTGGTCTATCTGGAACACGTGATAGAACTCTCAAAACTGTTAAATGTATGTAATAAAATAAATGGAATATTCAGCTGTTTACTGGAAAAGCATCCAGAGATATTACAAGCAAATCAGTCAGGATACAAGGCAAGAGGAATGTCCTAATAGACACAGATTCCTCATGAGTCACCACACACTGTACTTCAGGATAATGGGACAGGGTCTTCATGGCCAGTCTTAAGAAGCAAGATCATGTAGAGCCTGGCTGCTCCTTAGCTACTTTGGCCCTAAGCTATATAAGGCTTTATAAATTAGAAAACTTAAGAGTTCATAAAATGCCACCCTATTCTGCATTAACTCTCACTTCAAAATACTTTCAAAGAAAGTTCCAGATAGAAGAGATTCCAGCAGGTTAGGACATAACACACATGGGTAAAAGCTGGCTGGTTTTTTTTTTTTTTAAATGTACAGCTCATTGCCCTGTTCCAGTAAGCAGATAGGGTGAGGTCAGAAAATACAAAAAAGGCTGAACCAAGACTTGGACAGTGCAGTGCAAAAGGTGGATTGGGCTGAGAGTCACTGGCCCAGTCACCTAGCCAGCTTTCATGGCTGAGGCAGTAACTCTGTCTCCCTGTTTGAACATTAACTTTTTGTTAATTTTCATAGATTGGTATTAGAACTTGATGAATACAGTTATTGCCATAGACCTGACTTTTATCAATAAACAAGGCTGGAGAAACAATGTAGCACTGAAGTCTAATATAATCTCCCAAGCTGAGATTGAATTTTACACAACCAGGAGCTTCTTAACCAAAATCCTAGAAACTCGCTTGGTAAGAAATGGAGAGAACATCCAATGGTAAATTACACTTCCGTCCCCATTGTGTTTGTGGCATGATCCAGAGCAAGACAAAACATGGGAGAAAAAAAGGATTTTATTTAAAGCTAACTCATATTCAATAGGATTTAATATGAATCACTGCAGAATGACACTGAAGGAATATATCCCAGTGATATTTGGCTACAGGTCCAAAGAAACTGATGTAAATTAGCTGCCTCCCCACTCCACAGTGATTCTAGATCTCCAGACCTGTCCCAAAAGCAGAAGTGTCTATAAATCTATAACTTGACATGTAATCCCCACATAGAGATTGAAGTCCTCATCCTGATCCACAAGTAAAAAAGGTTGAACTAAATGGCTTAGGGCAGTGATGGCGAACCTGCGCGGAAACATCGTGCATAAATGCGTGCCCAACAATCAGCTGGTTAGCACACATGCACAGGTTGGTTTTCGCACTGCCATGTGCGCAAAGGGATGGCGCTCCCGAAAAGCCGAACTTCTGGGTTCTGGTGTGCATGCACACCTGACAAATCAGCTGGCCAGCATGCATGCGCACAGCGGTTTTCAGCATTGCCGCATGCGTGAAGGACAGCTGATCATCGCATGCACATGCACGCCAGAAACCCGGAAGACAAACAGGCAAGGCCATGTGTGCCGGGCGACATGGCTTCAAGTGCCACTTTGGCCATGCGTGCCATAAATTCACAATCACGGGCTTAGGGCTTCCCCATATTTTGTTGGCCAACAGACATTTGGCATTTAGAATTTTAGTTTGATACACTGGCTGCTTTGGGATAAGGAGTGCTGCCTTTTTTCAATATGATTCCTAGGGTATCCTAATCAGGCATAGAACAGAAAACTCAAGTCATGGAATGTGGAAGTCACTAAGGGACCCATCATCAGACATAATGGTGCCCATGGGCCTTGTAGTGGTAGCTCTTGAAATATCTTTCAAATAATCCAGCAGTTGTGACAGAGAAGATGAATTCAGAACTACACACTTTCCTAGAAAAATTATGCTCCTCTCCTTCACTTTCTCCTATTCAATTACCTGGTAGAAGATGAGCTAGTTATAGAACAAGGTTCAACCCAAATTTGGGAGAAAGTGTTAGGCTGCACTCAAAACATAGAGGTAGTTAAGAACCATGCAAACATTTGTGCATAATATTCTTCCTGTATTCTGATCATTGTCATTTGCAATTAAAATACAGAAGAATGACATGCATGGCGTGGCAGAGAGAAAATTAGAAAACAAATTTCTTCTCCTTTAATAAGAATGATTTTAGGATTTTGCCTACCAGTGCACCCAAAGATAATAGGCTTCCTTCCTAACACAATGGAGCTGAAAGTGTGGCTTTCTATCATCAATGTTCTCTGCCACAAGATAGCTCAAATTTAAAAGCTATAGAAAAATGCAAGTCAGTGTTTAATCATGAAGTGAAGGCCAAACACTTTTTTCCTCTCCTATTGCATTCTTACATCCTATTTCATGGTGGAATCAATAGTTACTACCTCTTTCCAAGGTGTTTTGCAATTCTAATTAAATGCTTAAATTTCAATTGCTTGGTTACTTTATGTTAAAGCTCAAAACATTTTGCAAGTAATATTTCAGATTTGGCCTCTGTCTTGCTGTTGCTTAGTGTAAATACATTCTTTACCATGTATAAAGCCACATCATAGATAGGGGGACTAAAAGTGTTTAAAATGGTAATATTGTTTTTAATGAATAGTTGCAGTTATTGTGTTAAAAATGGTAATAAAACTGCAGCCATTCCTGAAATTCTACAGATTTTTTTCCAGGAGGATCAGAATCATATTTAAGCAATCCAACTCACGTCACTTGGAACTCAGACATATGCAGTAGGGATTTGTTGAGTTAGCACTAGATTCTTAATTTGAATGTTAGAAAAATATTATTCAAGTATGGGGATTATGACAAGAGTGCTGAGACAGATCATGGCACCCTGAAATTTAAATGGTATGTGGTTGAAACCATTACTGTCTAGAAACAGCTCTACACCAAAGTCCTGTGCAGGAAGATCATTACTGATAGCAGTGAAAGCAGGTAAGAGTTCTTACTCATTCCCAACCTAAATTAGTTGGGTCATATTGTCTCTCTAGGGCAGTTCAGATCACACAAGGCAATTTTACTGCTGATCCTTATTGTGATCAAACTGCATCTTACATATTTTCCAATGAAGTCTTATATTTCCTCACCTAAGAATTTAATTGCAGATATGAAATACTATTTCAGTAGGATAATTCATTCCCCAGAAATACAGAATTAAGAATGCTAAGAATATTTTGAATGCAATACCTGCTAGGATACAAGGAAACAAGCGGGATACAAGGAAACAAGCAATATTTTTTGAATGTGGGATTTTTAGTATTAATTTCACATTGAAATTAAAGTTGTAATGATTTTAAAATATGATAAAACTAATCATACTAACCTATAACATGTCCTTATAAGTAAATTTTGCATATGATACACATTAGCAGGCATTATTTTAAGGGCCTGTGTCAATTATGTAGCATAGCTGGTATCTTTTATATAAGATAAAAAGAGAAACTATGTGTTAGCTTAACCTCTCTGAAGACTGGAATTGTATGGCAAGTGCTAGTATCATTTAGCTTAATACAAAAAGACATGCATCTTGTTTTAAATAAAAGAAATACTACTGACTTCTTAAATATGGTATCAAATTTCTTTCACATGGAAGAATTGTTAAAATACAATCTTGAGACCCAGGACTCCCCTCCCTCCGCCAAAAGATGAATTAGCAGATTACAGGTAAGAGAAGAATTATTTTAAGATTAGGATAGTGATTTTCAATTAGAAATCAAATCTATAAACTATTTTCTTTTATTGGATACTGCAAAAACAATATGTCACGTTATGTTCAAGTAAACGCACCCTGCTTACTCACTTAGATATTTGAACACTCTCCAACTCCTAACCCCCTGCTGATGCAACATATGTACTCCACTAGGTCTCCAAGACAAATCTGACTGCTTGTCTGGAAATACTAAGAATCCCTTCTATATTCTCTACAAGGAATATAAGATCCATATTTTATCAAGCAACACAAAAATCAGGTCTTATCAAAATAGAAAATATTTATTATATTAAACTACAATTACAGAATATACAATATTTAGAAAAAGGCACTCCAGTATCTCAAAAACCTAATTATTTAAAAGCAATACTTTCTTTACAACACAAATGACAACCATTTCCTAAAAACAGCTGTTTATTATTTGTACATTGAGCAGCCACTGCAAAAGATTTGATCTCCAACATCCTCTGATCTAAAAAAAAAAAAAGATAAAAGTTAGTTTAATGTCTCTTTTTGATTAGTAAGTTCCAAGAGAACACAACTTCTGTTATGGCTCTTCCACATACCATAATGCTTTGTGACAAAATTAAGCTGTGAGGAGAAATAAAACGTAAGAATTGTCTTACTGAATTCAAATAAGATCCAACTAGACAATCCTGACATAAAAGATTGAATTAGCTGCTATACTATCGTAATTAACCCAGCCATATCTAAATCTCCAACGTTACTGAATTCAAGTAATAAATTGTAGTATGTAAAAAATTCCCTTCTGTCAAGAAACAAAAATGAACTTGATTTCTGGGTATCAGTTCTTAAAATTCTTAATGCAACACTTTCTGCAGCCCCATCTCATACCACCTTTATTAACTTTGCACTTAGTTTTTGTCATGTTACAACTATAAACCCCTCCAGAATTTATCAGTTGAATACAACCAAAGGAAATTAAAGCTTATCTGGATAAGCACTTACTCTATAACTGAGCATAATGAACAGACAATGGTGCTGCAACAGCTGCAGAGTTTGCTGCAGTTCTGGCATATGTACTGATCACACTGTGTGCAAACATCTTTGATGTCAACTGTTCTTATACAGGAGGAACAGGCTTTTGATACTCCTACCGGCAAAACTGTGTATAAACAAACAGATTGGTAAATTAGATTTCAGCACTGTTTGCCATAAGCATCTCCTTTAAAATATAATCAAATCAGATTATTTGGACTCTAGTACAAAATCATTTATATTGATCGAAATAGGTTTATCCAATAGATAAGGTAACACTTAGTGGAGTTGAAGTTAGCAGGGAGTGAGCCTGGGACTTTCTATATGCAAATCAGGTGATACTACTTTTTATACATTCCTACACCAGATAAGATCATTTAAATACAATTTCAAAAGATCAATTGCATTTATCCAATGAATACAACATTGCATTTAACTTTTACACAATATATTCAGAAATCTATTTAACAATACAATATTCTACATACATATAAAACTTCATACATTGGGAACAAGGCTTGCTATTATTTGCTGTCTCCTCTTTTTAAAAGGAAAACTAGCTAGATACATCCACAAGCCCAGGAGAGTATTCTTTCATACACACTTCATCAGAAACCAAGCAATTAAAATTGCATTGGAAATAATCTATAATTTATCGTTAACCATACACAGGTACAGTTACCCTGAGTATAAAGAAACATTCAATTTAGCATAACTTGATAATATATTCTTCTCCTACTTCTCCAAGAATTCTTCTTCTCCAAGAATACTCTTGGAGTATTCTTGGAAACTACAGATGATTAGTAGTTGTGAGAAAAATAATAAACTATGAATGACAACTGAGAAAAATTGACACAGGCTGGCTGTATATCCTTATAATTTCTGTACCTGTATCATTTCTGTACTGCCTAAATGAAATTACATCTGAGGCCTTTTCCAATTACAATTTCATATTCCAAAAATCCATGCTGCAAAAAAGTTGGTGCTGCAGAGCACATAATGTAATTCTAAACAACTGGGAGAAAATTCCCACCACAAACTTAAGTACTGAAATTTAGCTACTACCAACATGATCCAATGACAGTAATATATGAGCACAAGTTTAGTCATAATTACAACTTCTGAATTCTCTTATCTCTGAAAACAACAAGCAAACAGCATGTCTAGATATAAATATATAACAGGCTGAAAACTGCAAATGAAAAATTAATAGTACCTAAGTGCTTGATAACTAACCATCCTTACCCATTTCACTTGCACAGGGTTGTCGAAGTTTTCCATCCTGCCCAATTAACATTTGTCCATTACATCTGTGCCAGGAACAAATTTCTGATTTGTCTATACATGATTCTGGATATTGTGCAATTAGATATGTTCCCACTGCACTTGCATTGCAAGTATTGTTCATGTATGTTTGAGCCCCTTTGAAGAGTAGTTGTTTGGTTTTCTCTGTGATAATGAGAACAAGAACAAAGATGACAATGTTATTTTAATTATACTGTCCAGAGTGACATTACAGTGCATTATTCAATCTGTGTCTACTGTATAACCTGTACCGTGTTTCCCCGAAAATAAGACCCTTATATTTTTTTGAATCCTGAAATAAATGCTTGGCCTTATTGCCATGCACTCAAAAAGCCCGATTGGGCTTATTATCAGGGGATGTCCTATTTTGGGGGAAACAGGGTACAAATTTATAGCAATAAATATGACCTCAGTTACTTTTTTCTGCCTTCTGGTGGCTGGCTGGACTTTTCAACCCAAATATCGTACCCTCCAAGCTAACCAAGAAAGAAAATTGTGAGCAACTTCCAAATCTCTTTTCCTGCAAAGAATTTCTAGCTGTTGGAAATCATGAACATATGATTTACCCAAAACCAAACCGTACTGCTTCAATGAGGCCAGAATTATATATATATATATATACATATACATACACACACACACACACACATATATATATATATGCGATTTAATGTTAAATACCTCAGTTCAAGCTGGTTTGATATGAGCTTATCACAGTATCATAGTGACAGTACTTAAACAGGGAACATCTATATGCAACATTACATACAAATTAGATGTTGAACCGAGCTGAACGGTTGGAGATTCAGCTGTTTTAAGTCTTTTAAGCCAGCAAGAACATAAAATAGCCACTAAGATGAAGCAAGGGGGACTACAACTGAGTGCACTTTGCTTTGTGGGGGGGATGGAGCCAAGTTTTGCAATCAAGGGTGTTTAGGGAAAGCAAGGCAATCAAATGACACGGGCTCTTTTGACAGAGGAACAACGAGCCCCGGCTTTTTATCAAATGGCTTGCTTTGGAAGGCGAGGCGGAGCACCTCTGAGCATACACAGAGCGCTTTTTTTTTTTTTTGGTCACGCACCAGCCAAGTTAGAGTGGCCGTTCCCGCCGTGTTAACAGTAACAGGAAAGAGGGGAGCTTCGCTTTTCTTCCTCCGGGCAGCCGCCTTTCCGGAGGCCGAGCGGGAGAAAGAAGGCGCATCCCGCTCACGCCAAGGGTGGAAAGGCCCCGCGGGGGACAGAAGGAAAACGCGCCCTCAAGCAGCGGAAGGAAACTAGGAAAAACTCGCGAGGACAAGAGTCGCCGAGCGATTTCTCTGCCCTTTCCCCCCCCCTCCACCCCCCACGTCGCCTCACCGAAGATCTCGCGCCGGTACCTCTCGCCCATGACGCCCTGGCTCAGCTCCTTCAGCCGCACGCGCGTCTTCAGCTGCACCGGGGACGAGTCCGCGAACGGGCAGGACCGCTTCGGCATCTCTTCCCCACGACTAACACGCCGACCGTGGCACGGGGCAGCCCGCAGCTCCGGCTGAGCTGGAACAATTAACGCGCCAATCGAGCGCTGCCTTTTCTGCGCGGCAAAAGGCGTAAACAAGACGCCTTTCCCGGGAGGAATCCGCTGCACGGCCCGCCTGCTTGGTCACCCGCGCCTTTTACGTCATCGGACCCTCGGCCAATCGGGAAGCGAGAAGGGGACACGGGGGAGAGAGGACCCTGGGATTCTGCTAGTGGGCGCTCGCATTGGCGGGGGGGGGGGAGACGTGACGGCAGAGGGGCGGGGCTGGGTCGAAAAAGCGCGCCGGCGAGGAGGAGGAAAGCCCTTCAAGCGATTAGCTTTGGAGCTTTGGAGAGTCCGCTTTCAAACCAAATTAACAGAGTTGGAAGGGACCTTGTAGGTCATCTAGTCCAACCCCCCGCCCCCGTCCAAGCAGGAGACACCCTACCCCATTTCTGACAGATGGCAGTCCAGTCTCTTCTTGAAAGATATATAGGACCAATCTGAATAGAATAGAATAGAATAGAATAGAATAGAATAGAATAGAATAGAATAAATTCTTTATTGGCCAAGTGTGATTGGACACACAAGGAATTTGTCTTGGTGCATACGCTCTCAGTGTACATAAAAGAAAAAATATAGATCCAATGCTAATCGCTTGAACACTTTCCTCCTCGTCTGCGCTCTTTTTGGACCAATAGGTCCTATATAGGCTCTGTTGAGTATTCTTGAATAAACCTAATTTAGGATGCGATGTTGGAGTCAACACTTCATCAAAAACACAAATGAAGTGGGCATTTACCTCCTCGTTATGGTTTACATTTGAATAACCTTAACCAAAAATTTAACTTAACTTTTAAAATTTAGAAATTTAGCTATTGTATGTGAAAAACACACATGTTTAAGGACTAGGTTTACTCCATTGCAGCCTTCACTCTTGTGTCACCAAATTCTTCGCTGAGTACATTTCTTGAAAGCAGAGGGATTTATCCACTATGAAATGAATGTCATGTTGCACAATAATATTTTTTTCGTGGTGATAAGATGCCAATGTTTTTCCCAGTCATAAATTTGGAAGGAGGAAGAAGGTAAGGTGAAGAATAAAATGTGGCTTTAAGGACGAACATGCTGTAAATAATCTCTATTCAGTATATTCCATAGGTTTTGTAGAATATGCATTTCAGCTGTGTTTTTCACCAAGCCTGGACAATATGCAAAATTTCCAACATATTCTTATGCATGTTGAGATTTTATCTAAAAGTTATGTAATTATCCTTCTGGTGCCATGCATATGCAACACCATGTGACAATATAAAGTAGAATTTACTATGGAATTCTTGGCTACAAGTGACATATGATCTTGAGCTATAAATATCCTCTTCTAGAATTTACCATATTTGGTGATCTTGGAAGATTTTGGCCATGTCTATTTTTTTAAAAACAAAAATATTGTAGTATTATCATTTACATTTATAGATATAAATCCCTAGGATCTTCAGCAGTATACAGACAATCCTAAGTAGTACAATAATAGATAAATCTAAGATATATGCAATAAACAAAGTAAACAGATGAAGTAAACAGATGAAAAGCTGGTCCAGACTGATGCAGCATGTATAGTTATGGATGCACCTCAGTATGCCCATAGGTCATGCTACTGTGAGATCTATACTGGTTACTTTGGGCTTCTAGGTGCAATTCAAAGTGCTGATAGTTGCCTGCAAAGCCCTATATGACAGGGCTAGGGTATTAGTGGGGCCATCTTTCTCTTATCTCTGCCTACCTAACAAGATCTGGCATGTTCTAAGTCTTATCAGTGTCATTTAATGGAGCCCAAGAAGGATGCCTTATCTATCACTGCATTTGTGTTGTGAAACAGCAACCTCTCTCCAGATCTGGATGGTTCAGATCCTGCTGGCTTTTTAAAAGATCATGTTCTTCCCTTTGGTTTAGTATGGTAACTTACTACCGGTATGTTGTATGTAAGTTACTGTCTTGGTTTGTATAATCCTTGTTGGCTGCCCAGAAAGCAAAAGAATGAATTAATAAATATAACATGACCATAGAACTCTTATAAAAAAACAGGTAAGCTACATATAGAATAATAAGTACAGAGTGCACTAATTGATTGTGCATGTTCTTATAAACAATTCCAATAATAATCTTTTGGTTACTAAAGGTAAATTTTAGCTGACATTTATTTCAACCTGAACCCAGTTTCTGCTGACTTCAGTCCACATTGGTTTGGTATTACTACCTAACTTAGTTCAGAGAGAAAGCAGGAAGTAACCAGCAATAACATATTTGCTTTGGTGATGCTTTCTGTTCATGTTACCTCTTTGTTTTCCTCAAAAAATTAATATATGACTTGCATCTATATAACAAATGTTGCTGCTGAATTTTGTTAACATATAGTCACGTGCATGTATGTCTTTTAGTGATGCACTTTAAAAAAGCTAAATATAATTAACTCAGCTACCCCAAACATTGTATCAAATTTGGCGTACAAAATTGGGTCTTGCATTAGTGTCATCAACCTGTTACTGGAAGAACAAAGATAATGGAGTAATTACTGAGTGCCATAAAGAATTTGGCAGCCTCAGGGAAAATGCTAATAGAAGGGTGATCTTGATTAAATAGTATATAAAGTCACACATTAGAATGAGATTTAGATTGTAATTTTTGAACTTTCAAATGTGTTATAAAAATAGAACTTTTTTATTGGTTCTGTATTAAAACCAGAAGTGATTCATAAGATTCAGAACAAAGAGACAAAATTACTTTCTTATAAGGCTTTATTGAGTAAATAAAGAGCTATAAGATCAATACAGCTCCATTTACAAGATACAAAATAATCAAGAGAACAGTTTTAGTGCATTTTAATCATCTGGTTTATACTTGCTATATCAGGAATTGTGTGGCACAACACATCATAAAAATATTAGGCTCAAAACCTGACCTATTCTTGCCTGATGTACAGTTAAGACATTTTCAGTGTCTTATCATGCTGTTCCCCACATTGAGTCATAAAGTATTTTAGATAACAATTGCATTTAAACAGCATACTAAAGTTGTACTAAATTTCACGTGAAGCTTCAGTATCCTAGGAAACAGTCAAAATACAATATATATTTTTTCATGAAGGATGAACTATAGTATAACAAATCCTGACTACTAAATATTTAATTTCATTTGATGCTATTTTATGGGAACAAAGATGTCTGTTAAAATATGCCAAAGTTAATAGATTCTCTATGAATATTGATTTAAACAAGTGCAAACTAAGAGGCCGAAGGAAGATCCACTGACATGAATGGGAGCTACCAAAGTGTTCTTGCATAGCACCCATTCATATAGATGGAAACTGTGTGGAAGTATTTACCAATGGTTTGTGGCTGCTAAAGAAATTAAGCTGCCTATGTGCAGGACTGTATGTTCTTATAGCTAGCTTTCCATGCAACAGATACTCACTTGAGAGAAAATGCACAGCTGGGCAGTGGAAAAATGTCATGCTGAACAAAAAGTTATAGTAAAGACATTTCAGTTACAAAGTTAGACTTTTTAAAGAGATACAGAAAACAAATCATTAAATGTAGTGAGCAAATAACTGATAACGTATTATGGATATGTAATGTAGGGTAAAGGCCACTTTGGTAAACTTTGGTCAGATAGGATGTGCAGAGATATTGTAGGTTGAGGGAAAGTCTTGAATAATTTCTGACAGGATTAAAAATCTATCTGAAATGCAAGTTGATTAATGGTGCTCCTTCTAGGGCAGCACCAAATCATTTTTAAAAAGTCATTTAGAAAACATTGACCTCTTGTTAACATTGCCTAGACAAGAGAATGTATTTTTACAAAGACAAGGCAAAGCACATAGGATTCTTATTAAACAACACATAGGAAATTTTAGAGCATTATATTGAAACAAATACCAAGAATTCTGTGGCACCCTAAAGAGCTTTATTTTTCTTGGGCCTTAAGGATGGATTTCTTTCTCTAGAAAATACCCGACCGTACTAATAAAGGGAAGGCAGAGGTATTGACCAAGCATATACATCAAATACAAGTCATGATGATACATGCCATATCACTATGAAAATGCTGTAAGTTATATAATGTGTATCATTTGAAATATGACATCATGACTTTGTCAGCACTAGGATAAATGCATCTTGACGGCCTGAAAACCTGACAGACTTAACTTTTGCCTTTCAGTGGATGCTGATTCAAAAACTAGCGAATACTATTGGTTCTGAAGGCTAGAAAATTGTTTAGCCTTCAGAACTATGGCGTTTGCTAGTTTTCTAACCCCATTTCCAGGATTTGCCTCCATTCTGAAGACTAGAGAGATTTGTAAATTCCAGAACCATGGCATTTGCTAGCTGTCTAGCCATAGGACGGTTGAAATGCTTAGAAAGGCTAGCAAACACGATCATTCTAGTGATTGTTTGGAAGTCTCCTTCCCCAAAGTGCATGATTTGCAGATGGAGCCGTCCAAAGATTATGAGAATGGGGTCTGTATGCAGAATGATGCAGGGCAGTCTCAGGAGAAATGCCCCTCCTTGCATCGATTTGGTAGGCCTGAAGCTAGAGAAAAAAGCAAAAAAAAAGTGGACCCAGGCATGGTGGGGCAGGGAGGGCCTGGGTCTCCTGGGCGTGGTGGAGTGGGCCCCATCTCTGCTGCTCTGCTTAATGGTCTGCAAAGTTGCTTAGTAATCATAATTAGGAGAGGTAGGATTGCAGTCGCTGAGCAAAGTAGTCATGTGAGCATCTCTCTTAATGACCGTTACGCTCAGGACTGTGCGAACTAGGATTATCGTCCCAGTTGTGCTTATAAGTCAATGATTGCCTGTATACAAAACTGCTACTGAAAAAGAATTTCCATCATCTTTTATATTTCTAAGAAAAGACCACATTCCCAGGAAAGTATTCCAAAAGAGTTTAATTTTACTGTACATTATCTAACATGCGAGAGCTACAATGAAAAACAGAGTAGAACACTTGGCCATGTGGAACGTGTTCTCACTCAAACTCTTTAGACTTTTTAATACTTATACTCACTTATGTAAAATCTTAACTATGGGACTGGTAAGCACTTAGCATATGCAATCAGTGCCCAGGATACCAGCATCCATATAGGAACTGCTATTAAGTACTATGATGATTGTGGTCCTACTCCTAACTAGCAAAATAGACATTTATGATGTGGCAGTACACAAACAGACAATTTTTCAAATTTCAGTCAAGTATGCTAAGTGTGTCATAAATTTATTTATAGCATTAATATTGCCACCCAATTCAGACAGCATGAGTCTGGGTGGCCTATAAAAATCAGCAAACAGCAAATGCAACAAAAAACAACATATGCTATATTCTTTTCTGAAAATGTTTTCCCTTTTTCATTTCCCAACTGCTTTTTTTTATTGAAAATAGTGATCTTAAAAGAGCAGCATTTGGCACTCTGCTGCATGTTTCCCATTTAAATGAAGGGGTACATCATAAAAGATTGAAAGTGAGCCCCAATTTCTCAGGAATGCTACTTTGAAATTGTATAAATGTAGACATACTGCCGGATCCACAACCAGAACTCTTCCTTTGTATATGTTACTTATTTTGTTGTCAATAGTCAACTGCATTTTTAAGGGTTGTTCCAGAACAGTTTATTACCCAGAATTTGATAAACTAACGTTCTGAATTGCTTCTTCTCTGAAGAGTGATGGAAAAATATTATATTCTGCTGAAAGCCAAGTGAGCAGTAATAAGCAACAGTGAAAAATATGATCTGAGAACATAATAAAAAAAAGTGAAGTTACAGGTGGTATTTTCACAGTGATATACAGCAAGATAATATTTTGCTATGGTCTTTTAAAATACATTTTCATTGCTATAAGTTTGTTTACTTGCCTTTTCTTTGTTTTCTTGCCTAACATAATGAGCTAAAAGTACAGAACTTCTGAGGGCTTCATTTGGAGCACTACCAGAAAATATTGAATGAAGGGAAGTTCTATATCTTAGGTTCTAACAGCTGTATCCACTCCAGTCTGACCACTGCCAACAAATGACTTCAGGCCTTGCCTCCTTCTTCTATGACATAACCTCTTTTCCTTGCCTTTGTGTTTTGATATCTGAAGAATGTTTATTTATAAGAAATGCAGACTCAAAGATAATTCTGCTTTGGCTCCCAGACTTAAAAGGAGTTGCTTAGTTCTACTATCTTTTCAGTGCACCATTAGGCATTTTGTTTTCAATAACATATATGCATATCTCACCATTTCCTGACATACCAATGGGAATACTATGGTAGAAAGATTGTTTTTGATAGCAGTTTCAAAAAATAATTCCATATGAGTTTGACACTTTTAAAAAGTTAGTACACAGCCTGTGACCCACTCTGGTTATTGTTCCAGAGATATTTCTGTACCACTAGAGAAACAGAATGATCACGTGCAGGTAAAAATGCAGTTGGAGTGTGAGTGACTTCCAATTACCTGCTAATGACTTTCCTTGTGGGAAGTTGGCAGGGGGCATTGGAAATGATGATTATGTAGCTTCGACTGACCATGGCAGTGTGGTGGCACTGAAATGGCCACAGTTTTGCCAAATTTCAATTCCATGGGAGTAATGGGTTCTGGGTTTTGGATGCATTCTTTAAGTTAGTCCATTTAAAGTACATTGATTAAAAAATGGTTGCCCTACAAGGCACCATTTCACCCAATTGAAGATTACAAACAGACAAACAGGAGAGTTTTAGTAGTATATACATCTTAAGATTCTTCTCAACCAATTCACTTCAATTATTTTTATGTAGTTTCTAAGCCATTTTAATACTTTAAAATAAGAGAAAATGCTCTTTTCTAATCATAGTCTAGGAAGGTTATTTTGATTTTAAAAGCATCTTCATCTTAGTCTGGGATCAGAAAAGATTAGGTGAACCCTTTCCCAGTGCAGCTCTTCTATGGGCCCTTAAAAGAGCTGGATCATTGATTCTCTTGATTTTCCGACTCCAACCCATTTAACTGAAGAGGAAAAAAAGAAATAATTAGAAATAACATAATAAATAAATAGCGAATAAATAACATAATGAAATATATTACAAGTAGTCCTGGTCATTAGTGACCATTCAAAGTTCGATGGATCTCCCCAGAGGTACTTTCAACACATTTTTAAAGTTCCAATGGCCACACACATAAACCCCCATGATCACATGGCTGCATTTTTGGGCACTTGGCAACTGGTTCGCATTTATGGCCATTTGCAGCATCTCATGGTCATTATTTTTGGTGTGAGGGTTTTTTTGCTAGTTTCCGGCTTTTATTTCCAGTTTCTGGCAAAAAAAACCCCACCCACTGAGGAAGACAGGTTTCTCTTAATGACCATGGTGCTTACTTAACAACCATGGCATTCATTGAACGACCACCACAAAATGGTCGTAAAATTGAGCATCATTATTTGTGAGCTGCTTAATGACCACCATAATTTACGACCATGATTCTGGGCTCAATTATGGTTCTAAATTGAGGATTGCCCATATAGGCTATAATCCTAGAGGGTAAATTAAAGAATCCAAATTCAAAAGGCAGCCATGTAATAAAAGTTGTTATCTGGCTGGAAACAGCAAAAAAAACAAAAACCCATTAGTATTGTTTATATACTATTTTTAAAAAATATATCAATTTTGTTTCACTGCTGTGGTTCAAATACTATGGTGAATCATATCATATAATTCTTAGGCACTGAAGTATTAGTAGTGGTATTATTTAATCAGCAAGTCTCCTCTAACAAATGCCATCAATACGGAGATGGGTTAAGTTAAAGTTGATCAGTTAGGGATCATATTAGTGGTGAAATGTAAAATTTGTTACTACCGGTTCTGTGGGCATGGTTTGGTGGTGGTGGGGATAATATGACTGAGTGGGCGTGGCCAACTTTTTTTTTTTTTTTTTTTTACTTTTAAAACCATTTTTTCTGCAACCCCTTCAGCTGAAGAGGTTGTAAAAAATGCTTTTAAAGCCTCTAACGATCCCAGCTGACTTGCCTGATCGGTAGAGGCTTTTTTTCCTTTTAAAAATATTTTTTCTATAACCTCTTTGGCCGAAGAGGTTGTAGAAAAAATGCTTTTAAAAATTAAAAAAAGCCTCTGATGATTGTGCGGCTCAGCTGGGCAATGGGGGTGGGGCAGGGATTTTTGATCCCAGTTCTCTGAACCACCTGCCTCCATCGCTACCAGACTGGGCGATCCAGTCCGAACCGGGAGCATTTCACCCCTGGATCATATGCAGCTACTAAACACCTTGGGAATATCTGCAGAGCAAGAAATCTACCATATGCTAGTTTCACAAAGGCATGACAATGATTCTAGTTAATTTTTCTTTTAGCAATAGGAATTACTTAGTACCCCTAATCTATCTCAATCCCTAGAAAGCTGTTGCTTTGTCTAATTGGCGCAATCCTTTCTGTGTACAACTTAATAAACATAGCAAACCCTGTTAGAGCAGTAATGATGAAAATACATACCTGACACACCAACATGGTTTTCCACAAATCTAATGTAATTTTGTGCCTTAGGTGGAAGGTCCTCCCATTTTCTGGCACTAGTTGTGTCAGTTTTCCAACCTGGCATTGTTTCATATTCCACTTCCACTTTTTGTAATATTTCCTGATTAGCTTTAAAAGTGAAAAGGCAACTATTTAGGTCATAAGAATAATGTAATCGTTATTTAGCATTTACACTTAAAAAACCTTTAACCTAATCTTGGAAGCTTTCGCTCTTTTGGTGACCATTGGTCTCAAAAGCTCTTTTTCTCAAAAAATGGTTATCCTTGCTTTTAGAATAAATCAGATTATATAGAACAACCAGGTAAGATCTTTACTGAACAATCGTCCTACTTTATTCACAGCATTTAGGTGTCATTTTCTTGACTTCAGAAAGGCCAAATAACTGTACAATTATCTATTTCTCTAGAAGTCTCTTTAGGGAAATAATGGAGAAAATTATTGGCACTCATTTTACTTATATGAAGTGTGTTTGAAGGCTGGTTCACAGAAGTGGCAATGTCACTGGTTATATTTTTATTTTATTTATTTATTTTCAATTTATATACCGCCCTTCTCCCTGAGGACTCAGGGCGGTGCACAGCCAGAATTAAAAACATGAAACACAAATATTAAAAACAATTAAAATCTATATAAATTTGGCCCCAAATTTAAAAAAACCACAAACCAATTAAACATTTAAAAATTTAAAAAAATTTCTTCCTAAGCCAGCCCGGCTTGCTGGAAAAAGTGAGTTTTAAGGGCATGGCGGAAGGCACTGAGGTCTTGGATTCTCCTTATCTCTGGGGGTAGCTGATTCCAGAGGGTAGGTGCCCCCACAGAGAAAGCTCTCCCCCTGGGGGTCACCAGCCTACATTGTTTGGCTGATGGCACCCTGAGGAGGTCCTCTCTGTGGGAGCGCACGGGTCACTGGGAGGTCATCGGTAGCAGCAGGCGGTCTCGAAGATAGCTAGGCCCTATGCCATGGAGCGCTTTAAAGGTGATAACCAATACCTTGAAGCGCACCCGGAAGATCACCGGGAGCCAGTGCAGCTCGCGCAGGAGCGGTGTTACATGGGAGCGCCATGCTGCTCCCATCACTACCCGCGCTGCTGCGTTCTGGACCAGCTGGAGCCTCCGGGTGTCCCTCAAGGGGAGCCCCATGTAGAGAGCATTGCAGTAGTCAAGGCGAGAGGTGACGAGGGCGTGAGTGACTGTGCACAGGGAATCCCGTTCAAGAAAGGGCCGCAACTGGCGAATCAGGCGAACCTGATAAAAGGTCCCCCTGGTTACAGCCGTCAGATGTTCCTCCAAGGACAGCTGCATATCCAGGAGGACTCCCAGATTGCGAGCCCTTTCTGTGGGGGCCAAAGACTCGCCCCCAATAGTCGGTGATGGAGTCAACTGACTATATCGGGATGCCGGGAGCCACAGCCACTCAGTCTTGGAAGGGTTGAGCTTGAGCCTGTTCCTCCCCATCCAGATCCGCACAGCCTCCAGTTACTGAGACATTACTTCAAGGGCATCGTTGGGGTGGCCTGGGGTGGAGATGTACAGCTGGGTGTCATCAGCGTACTGATGGTATCTCACCCCGAAGCCACGGATGATCTCGCCCAGCGGCTTCACATAAATGTTGAACAGAAGGGGCGAGAGGACCGATCCCTGCGGCACTCCACAAGACGAGAGGCCTCGAGGTCGACCTCTGCCCCCCTGCCAACACAAACTGCGACCGGTCGGAGAGAAAGGAGGAGAACCACTGCAATACGGTATCTCCCACCCCCAACTCTTCCAGCCGGTGCAGCATGATACCATGGTCGATGGTATCAAAAGCCGCTGAGAGGTCTAACAGGACCAGAACAGAGGAGCAACCCCTGTCCCGAGCCCTCCAGAGATCATCAACCAACGCGACCAATGCCGTTTCCGTGCTGTGCCCAGACCTGAAATCCGACTGGAACGGATCTAGATAAGATGTTTCCTCCAGGAATTGTGGAAACTGTCGCGCGACCACACTCTCAACAACCTTTGCCATAAAGCGAAGGTTGGAGACAGGACGATAGTTGGCCAATATTGCCGGATCCAGGGACGGCTTCTTGAGGAGAGGCCTCACCACCGCCTCTTTCAAGCCAGCGGGGAAGTAACCCTCACATATGTAAGTTTTGCAATAGTTAACAGTTAAGAGAGGGGGAAAAGACCAGATCCCCTCAGTTCTTAATTATTAACATTACAGAATGTGTATATGTGGTGCACAAAAGTGTCAAAATGCACATGTACAAACCTGTCCTTTGAAAATTGTCAGGTTCCCGTTGCACATGTCCTTTTAAATATCTTTCAGATTTTCCTTTTCTTTTTTTAAAGGAAAACTGGCATGCTATGAAGCACAGCTGCAGTTTCTGTAGGAGCTCTTAGGCTTTCTTGGAAATTAAAATTTTTGAAGGGCTGTAGCCATGTGCTTATTTAGAAATCTTCTTTAACCTTCCCAAAGGATGCAAGAAAATTGGAAGAGAAATGAAAGTGGGCAGCAAAATCTTCATCAGTTTTGTCACCTGATGTTTCCGGGACGCCTGACGTAATTAAACTTTTCAACCTAGTTCAAAGTAACATTTCCAGTTAATAACATACCTGGAAAGTATGGAATTCTTTTCCCATCTAGCCTGTAAGCTACACCAATTTTGATTTCATCAAGGACATCCAGAATATCGAGTTTTGTCAATGCCAAACTGCCCAGAAAATATTAGATAGATATTAGTCTCATTCAACATCTCATTGAATCCCTTCTATCTGTTTTTTTAAGTTTATGGGATATCCCAACAGCATGAACTATTCTGAAGTAATCACCAAAAAAAAAGTTACAAGCCAGATAAAGTTTAAATTAATATACACATTAAGAAGCATTTTAAATACTTAGGTATGTATCACACAGTAAATTTTAGCTACAAACAAATGATGAGAATTTAAGTATGGCACTTAAGAATTAAATGTTCCATATTTTAAAATATATAACTCTACAGTGTGGATAGTTATATTTTTTTTTCAAGTACTAGCAATCCAGAGATATCAAACTTATTTTTTTAAGCTTCAAGAATTCAGAACCTACGTTCAGAACAATTTTCAGGCCAATCACAGATATCACTTGGCCTGTCTTTACTTCCATTAATTTTAGTGTTAATCGACATTCCACGTCAGTCAGAATTTAAAATAAACACTGTGCATCCCCTTCCCGATATATTTCAGATTTCAAGACCAAACAGTGATGTAAAACTTTATGATGAGGCAGAAATAGCAAGTATTTGTATATGTAAATACCACTTTCTATTTCCTGCTTCTTTCTGGCTTACAGCCCCTAAAATGACTGCTATTTACTGTACAGTACTATTGACCTAAGACGTTTAAGCCAGTGGTGAAATCCAAATTTTTTTACTACCAGTTCTGTGGGTGTGGCTTGGTGGGCATGGCTTGGCGGGCGTGGCAGGGGAAGGATACTGCAAAATCTCCATTCCCACCCCACTCCTGGAGGAAGGATATTGCAAAATCTCCATTCCCGCCCCACTTTGGGGCCAGCCAGAAGTGGTATTTTCTGGTTCTCTGAAGTACTCAAAATTTCCGCTACCGGTTCTCCAGAACCTGTCAGAACCTGCTGGATTTCACCCCTGGTTTAAACCCACTGAAGAGATATTTTATTTTCTTTGGGATAAAGTGCTACTGTTTCTTATCAAAATATAAAACATAATTTTGCTAGACTAATTATAATGTTACCTACATATTTGTACTCCACCAGGTTAAAAGTTATGAGTTCCAAGTGTAGATCAAAATCTGTGATGCTTACGCAGTAAAGCCGTTGATCATATGAGCGTATCTCAAAATGACAAGGTCTAGCCAGCCGCAACGTCTTTTCCTGCCTGTAGTCACACCCCATTCGTGACCTCGTGACTGTAAAAGGTCTCCAATTTCCTACCAGAGACAAAGATACCCAGGAGATGGGAACAGTAGTCACAGCCAAGTGTCAAAAGCCACTAGTAAATGAACTATTGTCATGTCAAAAATGCATGTTTTTTTAAAAAAAACATTTAGAAGACAAAAGATGTTCAACATGGCACACTAAGTCAAACAATTTTCCAAACTCTCCAAAAGGCAGTTTTTTTCTTCATTTAGCATTAATCAGGGTTGGATTCAAGTTGCAAGCTGGTAAATTATGGTTGGTGTTTAGCCCTAAAATCAGACTTAGAAACTTATTTCAAATTACCATTGATGTAGGTAATAATTGTAGATTATAGCATATGTAAATGTATATATCGAAGCATTTAATATATGCATGAAAGAAAGGTACATAAGAAAGCAGAAAAGAATGCAAAATCTAATCCTCATTTAGTCATTCAAATTATACTTTGGATTTAGAGTATTGTGTATTTTTAATTCAATCATAAATGCAGAATTTGGGGTACAGTTCTTTATGATGCTCATTTCCCCCCAATATTCTATTTAATGATTAAATCTGTGTCCAATGTGACTCTGGATTACTTTATTATACCACTTTGTCCACTATTCCAGTGGCATTTGTAAGCTACAGTAAAAAAAAAATAATTTAAACAAATTAAGAATTCCAAATTGAAAGAATCAATTTGCGAGATGACATAATTTTTAAAATTAGATTCAGATCAGGATACCTTGTAAAAAGATATTTGAAAGTATGCTATAGAATGGAGCTGTGATGGTGGTGGGGAATCACACTTCAAAGAAAATTAAGACAATTGCGAGAGCAAGTTAATACCATCCACACATTTTCTATTTTATAATAAATTTTGAGATTGGCATAATATTTGCATGTATTAGCACAGGATCTTTGCAACATATTATCCTGGGGTGGGCAATTAATTTTCCCAAGGGGCCATATGAGAAACTGGGACTGTAGTGGAGGGCCAAACCAATAGGCTTCCTGTTGCTCTTTGTTGGAGAACTTGTCGGCCCCATTGTGGCTAGAGTTGAGCTCCTTCCTGGTGACTTTGGCCGCTGGAACCAACATTTTGAGGGAGGTGGGAATGTAGAGCCTCACCTCAACCCATCCTGGCCCAGTTGCCACTCTTCTGCCACCACCACTGCTCTCTTGCTAGATCCTGCTTATGTTCTACCTGCTTGCCCGCAAAGCCTTGCTTTCAGAAAGGTGGTGGTTGGTGGACGAGCCTGTGTCCTCCCTAAACCATAGTTGCTGTTGTCTTCTCAAGCTGCCCCAGGCAGGGGGTGAGCACCTGCACAGATACAGAAAAGTGCTCTCTCTCCTCCCCCTCCCATGGCTGTTGACTAGCTGAAGAAGTGCATGGCAACTATGCAGAACCAGACCCGATTCAGCTTCTCCTGCTCCCTGCGGTGCACTTATTTACATTTTATTTCTAATTTCTGATTGACCTCACGTGGGCTGGATAGGGACAACCAAAGCGCCAGATGTGACCTGGGGGCTGTAAAATACTCAGTATTATCCTATACTTATTTTAATTTATTTGTACTATTTTAATTATAATAACAAACTTACATTTATTTGTTCAGTTGGAAAGGCTCCAATTCCCACTCTTGTTGTGTAGGCTTTTACTACTCCATAAACTTCTCCAATATACTGAGGAGGAATGCCCAACCCAGTGCATACACCACCGACGGTGCAGTTTGATGATGTCACAAAAGGATATGTGCCTAGCAAAAAGCAAAAATTAGGTACATCCTGCTTTAAAAAAAAAGAATGCACTTTATTTAAAACAGCTGTTCAACATATCACTTTCTTAAAGACCTTTAAAGATCAGGGAATCACATGAACATGTGCTGGAGAAACCTGCATAGGCCAGAAGGTTTATCAAGCACATTATATTATTAAATATATATTATTAAACAGCATTTAGCAGTAACACCTAGACTTATATACTGCTTCACAGTGCTTTACAGCCCTCTCTAAGCGGTTTACAGAGTCAGCATATTACCCCCAACAATCTGGGTCCTCATTTTACCAACCTCAGTAGGATGGAAGGCTGAGTCAACCTTGAGCCGCTCAGGATTGAACTGCCGAACTGCTGGCAGCTAGCATAATTAGCCTGCAGTACTGCATTCTAACCACTGCGCTACCATGGCTCTGTAAATATTGTTACATTTAACATCCATCTGCAGGTAGTGCTTACTTAGCAACCACCCATTTAGCAACTGTTCAGAATTATGAGAGTGCTCAATGAGGAGACTTACAACTGTTGCTCATACTTGGGGCATCATTGTGTCCCCACAGTCACATGATGACCATGTGGGCACTTGACAAGCAGCTTGCAGTTATGATGGTTGCAGCATCACTGCTGACTTCGAAAAAGCAAAGTCAATGGGGAAGACAGCAGGATGTCACAAATGGTGATCATGTGACATTGTGCTTAACAACTGTGCGGGATTTGCTTAACAATGGCAACCAAAACTGTTGCAACTGCTATTGTAAGTCAGTGTGGTCATGCTTAGCAATGGAGTTGCTAGTTCCAATTACAGTTGTAAAATGAGGAATAACTATATGCTTGTAAAAAGATGCCGTACATTTGGTTCCAGAAGGCAACAAATTAAACAAATGGTTTAATAAGCCAACTGAGAAGAAAGCACATCTCCTACAGCACAAAACAAATTCTTGGAATTCTGCTCCTAATCTTTACTCACTTGCATTCTAAAAGAGGTAGTAGATTCTCTCACATTGACCCCTAAATAAAATACGCTTTGGGATACTCTGATATGGTTGGATCCAAATTAAGTCATAGTTATAATATGCCCATTGAAATCACCAGGGTCTCATCAATTTCAATTACTCTCACCATGATTAAGACTCATGATCATACAAAATATGAATATTTAAGAATGTATGAAAAGGGTAAACTAACCACCATTTCTCTCAGTGGCCTGTCTGGCTTCAGGAAAGACATGTTTTATTTCTCATCTGTATGCATTATTATTTCTCATCAATATGGATCTTACTCATAAAATAATAATCTAACCCTTCTCATATCTATCTATGTGCATGGACAAAATAATTTATTACACAGATTTCTATGTAGCTAGACAACCATATATTATACCAAGTGACATACCAAAATCAATGTCAAGCAGTGCTGCATTGGCCCCCTCCACCAGAATTTTCTTCGGAGGGCCGTGTAGTGCTTCATACATAAAATAAACTCCATCTTGGACCATTGGTCTTATTGTTTCAGCATATCCCTGCAATATTCCATATATATATATATAAAATTACTATATTTCTCCTATATTGACTGAAAGTTAAGAATAGAAGCATATCAGAAACCAAACCAGAAAAACCACATGTTCTATGTAATTAAGGAAGAAATAAACAGGTTGCTAACTGTGATAGGCTGTCTAAAGGTAAAGGTTCCCCTCGCACATATGTGCTAGTCGTTCCCGACTCTAAGGGGCGGTGCTCATCTCCGTTTCAAAGCTGAAGAGCCAGCACTGTCTGAAGACATCTCCCTGGTCATGTGGCCAGCATGACTAAATGCCAAAAGCGCACAGAATGTTGTTACCTTCCCACCAAAGGTGGTCCCTATTTTACTACTTGCATTTTTTACGTGCTTTCAAACTGCTAGGTTGGCAGAAGCTGGGACAAGTAACGGGAGCTCACCCCAGTACGTGGCACCAGGGATTCGAACCACTGCACTGCCGACCTTTCGATCAACAAGCTCAGCGTCTTAGCCACTGAGCCACCACATCCTTGCTAGACACAAGAATAAGGTTTATTATATTTATCATGACAAATTCTGAAGTTTTGCCAGTTTAATCTGCAGAAGAATATATGGCTTCTTTTCAAATTCTTTTGGATGACTTTGGGCATTTAAGAATCTGAACAAGATAATTGGAAAAGTTTGACCATTCAGACTGAAATACTTATCTCCCATAACTACAGATAGTCCTGAACTTACAACAGTTCATTTAGTGACTGTTCAAAGTTACATCATCACTGAAAAAAGTGACTTATGACCATTTTTCACACTTACAACCGTTGCAACATTTCCATAGTCACGTGATCAAAATTCGGATTTTTGGCAACTGTCTCATATTTATGACAGTTGCAGTGTCCTGGGATCATGTGATCACATTTTGCTACCTTCTGACAAGCAAAGTTGATGGATAAAGAAGATTCATTTAACAACCATGTTACTAACTTAACAACTTCAATGATTCACTTAACAACTGTGGCAAGAAAGGTCGTAAAATGGGGTAAAATGTTTCACTTAAATGTTTCGCTTAGCAACATAAATTTTGGGGTCAATTATGGTCGTAAGTTGAGGACTACCTGTAATTGCATATAGGACAAAAATATTCAGCTGCGTCCAAGAGGTTATAAATTCTTCTTTAGGTAAAGAAGTTTTTCCAGTCATAAAGACACTAGTTCTAGTCATCTCAGAAATTTTCATCATCATCATTAATCATGACATTCTCCTGGAAAGATAATCCAATCTAGGTTTATCTATTCTGTTAAAATTCAAAGTTTTAAGATGGGAATGTTAGAGGTTTACCTTTAGTTTTTTTAGTTGTCCTTCTATGTCAACTTCTAAAGAAGGAAACATTGACTTGTACTGGTGAGCCAGATTTTTAAATCTGCAAAACATCAACAATTAGCAGCATACACTGTACATAGATATTTTTCCCTATAAATCACAGGCAAAAAAATACCTGGTGAAATATGCATGAAGACCAGGTTGTATGTTCAAACAACAGGTTTTTAAGTGTCAAAGATAATCAGAATTTATCTTATTAAAATAAATGAAATAAATATTTTTCCAAATCCAGCTCGTTTCAGTAATATATGCACAACTATCTTCACAGTTCCCCACAGAGCACATTCATACATACTTTCCCTTCTGTACAGTATCTTAATAGTATAGAAAAAGTTCCCATCCAAGAAGTTCCTTGATGTGCAGTCGACTAGAATACCTTAATGAAAATTCACTGAAGTCTGAAAGAAGATCGCAAATCCGAAGTCCTGTCCGTGCAGCTTTGGAAGAATAAGTTGGTCCAATTCCTTTTTTTGTCGTGCCAATGCTAGCAAAAAAAGGCAATTGAGTGGAATCAACTGCTGAACTATTCAGTTATTTAGTGGTACAGATATTTCCAAATGTCTTGTAATAGAAATTGAGTAGTTTGGCTGTGCATGCATGCAGGCATGCATTAGAAAAAAATATTCGCCTATGTGGTCTTTGATCTTTTCAGATTCAGAACAGATACAGTTTTATTTTCTTTTGAGAAATCAAACAAAATTGGAAAAAAAGCTTTCTACTTTTTCATGCTTGGATAGAAGAAAGTTGCATGGATTGCACAGATGACTCTCACTGAACAATATTATTTTGGAACTCAAGTTGGATGCCAAAATCCAACACACTGGGGAAGGCTGGTATAATTGGAATAACAATATTATCTCCTGTTTCATCAACTACCAACTTCACTTTAAAAGAAATAAAGTGGTAGCATATCAGGACCAACCCCAACTTAAGTCAAAATTCAACTCACCAATTGAAAAGTAGCAACAAATAAAGGGATAACAGGAACAAGGAGGAAGAATGTAGCTATCCCTTTAAAATTAAAAGTGTGATTTTGGCACCACATTTTTCTATTTTGGTTTTACTGGTCTTTATGTTTTATTTGTTTTATTGCTCTATACATTGCTTAATTTTTATATGGTGAGCCTCACAGAGTTTTGCCTTTAAGAAAAGGTTATATAAATGTTTTAAATAAATGATCCAAATGGAAATATTTCTCTCCCTTATATTCTCAGGCATTCATATTCTGAAGATTCTCAGGCAAAAGGCAACCCAAGTAAAAAACAAATAGAACCGGAAAAGTATAATGCTCCCAACCTCTGTTTCTTTAAGGTTACTGAGCGATATATTGTCTTTGCAAGGCATTATTCCTCTTGCCTGCACATCCTCCAAACTTCAGTCATCTATGTTCTGATCATCTCAAAGATCACAATGTCTTTCTTTTAGAGAATCCAGCAGTAGCTATATTACCACACACTGATTAACTGAACTGGACCAAAAAGCTATGCATGTACAAGTACTTTTCCATACTGTACTGTGTGCCAAGGTTGCTATGAGGATGCTTCCTTTCACTACTTCACTGCCAGATTTTTCAGAGTTGTTCTAAATAGATTAACTGGGTATCATTTTCCAGCTCAGTGACCTATCAAATATAACCTCCAGCACAGAGACATGACTATGGTCAACTGGAAGGAAAAAAAGCATGTCAATAACTATATTGTTTTTCCCAAAACATTGGAAAAGTTTACCAATAATTACTTGAGTATGAACTATCTTTTACTCAGAACTGATTTCCTCCCTACCATGTGCAGTTCTGATACAATGTAAGGATTTATTCCTAGTGACTATATCAGTAAATACTCACTAGCGTAACCTGGCTTTAATAATAAAAGAGATTTTTCTACTCCATGATCCATTTGTATCACATGTCACCTCATAATTAACCTTAATATCGCCTGAGGCTGATTCTGGCAGTTCAAAATACTTTTAGAATCCAAATCCCTAATACAAAGATGCCTTTTTGTTCATTGTTCAGCTTTTACAACCTTACTGTAATACTAATTTAGCAGTGGCAGTTGTATAACTGAACAAACCTGAAGAGATTCTCACACATAATATGGGCGGTAGTGCTATGTCACTAAATTTGCCTCAGGAAAGATAATATATATGATTCATTGTCTAAATTTTACATTAGTCAGTGTTCCCATAGCTTCATCATTCTCACAAAGAAATAACATCAAGATTTCTATTTATGTGCTGGGTCATGAAGAGCTGCCATGTTCTAAAGTGCAGATTCTATAACAGAGCCCCATGTGTAGATAGGAAGAAGGCAGCAATATAAATAAATATGGGCATCAGACCCAGACTGGCGTTTAAATCCTCCACATAATAAAAACCTCACCACCTGATCTGCCTCACCATGCGCTGTTTGTAAAGCATATTTATTTTCTTCAGAGTAGATACCAGCTGTATAGAGGTACAGCTTTTATTGGTGCATCCCTTTTATACAAGCACAGCCATATTTACATGACACATATAGGGATCAGAGTGTTCTTATACAATTTGTGACTCTTGCACATTTGAAACTCATTTGTGCATGCATGCTGTGTAAGTTGATATTTTAAGCAAGAACAGCAAAAAAAGTAACAGAATCGTTGCATTACATTGTATTTTATATTTTCTTTCCAGACTTATGCCAGATCTAGTAGCAGAATTCAAGTATACCAAGATATATAATTACTTTTTCCCCTCTTGTACTTGACGCTGTACTTCCTGAAGACCATCAACTGCTTGGTGAAAATCAAACACTGCATAGCAGAGGAAAAGCATGAAGATTTAAGGGAGATAAAACAAGGTTTGATTTTCAAATATTTCATACAATTATGCGTTTAATGTTCTAACAATGAAGGAATCAAGCTGGTGTAATTATTAGCAGCATCGTGCTTCAAAATAAAGAAATTGCCCATGTCAAAACAATCTTAATTTTAATTTACGATCTGTTGTATCAAATATATTAAAATAAGAATTATTTGTTCATAGACAAAAATATGAAGCTTACTAAATTACCCTTTTTAATTAGAGAAAAGACAGTATCTATATTTATGGCTAACTGGAAAACTCTTGTAGACTTTTTGCAAGAAACAGAAAAAATGCATTTATGACTTGTAGTTTTCATGATTAGAAAAAGATTGGGTAATTGAAAAAGCTTTTTTGTAATCATAAGTGTTAAGAGATAACTTTGCAATCATACCTGTATTAGCTGCAAAAAATTAATAAGCTTCTTTCAATTTCTTTTTATATTTTTTCTGCACTTTCTTTTTTCTTTCTCTTTGTTCTCTTTATTCTGTATTAATTTGTGTTAGTTTTTATGTTCTTGTTAAAACTTTTAATAAAATTTATACAAAAATATGAATTCTTTCCAGTACAAATAACATTAATAACAGTATGAAAAAGTTGTATTTGTTTTCTCTCTCTGAATACTACTTACCAAGATGTGCTCTGTCTGATATTATAAGTCTTTTCTCCCAGCCTTTTAATCCTATTAGAAGAAATGTGTACCAGTTAGAAGAATGTGGCTATAGACGACTGAACAATCTACAGCAGTCTTTCTCAACTGGCAACTTGAAGATGTATGGACTTCAACTCCCAGAATTCCCCAACTAACTCTTCATGCCAGTTACCCAAGATGAAAAACCTTGCTCTTAAAGCAATAATACTTAAAGTGTGGTATGCAGAGGCCAATATCACACCCTCATAGGCCAAAGCCTGCTCACCATCATGGATGCATTGACAGTCACTAAAAGTGTCTTTCAAGGAAATGTATTTGTCATCTCTTGATTTTTTTTTCAGCCTTAACCTCTTGTCCACAATAACTGAAGTAGGTCCATTTTCTCTGTTTTCGAAACGTTAAAATATCCTTTTAAAATAAGGGTGAGTGCCACTATTTATAACAAGCCCCTTTCTTTTTAAAGAAAAATATTAGGTACAAACCTTTCTTCTCGTTTTTTTCAGCTTCTTCAAATAAGCCAGGTAAGTGTATAACCACACCATTACCTAAAAGGTATATACAAAACTTTTGCTTTAAAAGCAAGACATCAAATATCATCCTTAAAAGGATAAGCATTAGGCAAATACAACTATTCTCATATCAGAAGAATTTGCAACAGGTTGGGCCTTTCCAGCTGTTCTAATTAAAGTTTTAAATGGAGTTATTGGAGAATGGACTATTGAGTTAAGATCCATATTATAAGGTTTCACTTTGCTTTTTCTCTCTGCCTTCTCTAAGGAAGGGTTATAGAGATTGATGGCAAAGTTTTTTTCGGTGTTTCTCAGACAAGGGGTCTCCAATCTTGGCAGCTTTAAGACTTGTGGACTTCAACTCCCAGCTGGAAGTTGAAGTCCACAAGTCTTAAAGTTGCCAAGGTTGGAGACCCCTGTCTCAGACAATCTGGCAGCTGGCCTTTATCTGATTGGAAGGCTTTGATTTACCTTTTGGCACATTCTGCCACCCTCATTGGATACCCTTTACATTGGTTGAGTGACTGTCCCCCAGTTCCATTCATCTTTTTCTGGTCTTTAGTGCACTTCCCCAGATTGCTTTGTAGACATTGAACCACTCTGGAGCTAATGAGCCTTCAGCAGTATTAACACTAAGCAGGCTATTTTTGGCTTACCAGCCAACTTTTCTGTGTCCCATAACTAACAGTCCATCTTCAACAGCCATTTATTGTCTATTCCAATTTAATCTGAATCTCAATTCCTCTAGAAGTCTTTCTGATGTTTTCTATGTCTTGAAGCTAGCTTAATCCAGTATCTCTGCCTTTGTGATGGTATGTGGGAAAGACCTTGGGAGACTAGATCAAGAGATGTTTTCAAAGGAATGGTCAGATAAGAGATAGCATAACCCACAACTGGAGAGTGGGCAGGGCAAAAGGCTCAGAAGGGACCCTCCCTAGTTTCTTGGGCTATAAAGGAGATGTGGTGAGACATGTATTTTCAGACTTGCATGATAGCTTTACAATAAAGTAGAATTAGCTGAGCCTGTTGCAATTTCTATCTTGTTTTCCCCACAAGCCTGACATCAATCTTGTAACTCTTGAAGTGAGACACTGCAAGGTCTCAAACCACTTGTGGTTATATGCTGTATCTTACCTGACCATCCTCTTAGTAGTAGTATTTCTTGACCCAGTCTCCCAACATCTTTCCCAGATACCAGTACCATCACTCCTTCTCTCCTATGACAGAAAGATTCCTAAGAGAATCTAAACTAAACTTTCAGCTTCTTGAGATCTGCAAAGAGGATAGCTTGCCCTCCCCAATGCTTGCTTAAGTTACATCATGGAAATCTGAGTATAAGATAAGCCAGAAATGAGACGTGGCAACTGCAGGTGCATCACAGTCCTTCATCTCCAGATTATGTCTCATTTGCTCCAAACAAGACCATAGATATCCATTCAGGGATACTGCAGCCAAGATTACATGGAACAGGTCCATGGTTGCCAGGGAGCCCATAAACCTATAAACTGTATAGATTCCTCTCTCAGGACAAAGAGATTGAAGTCCTGCTAGATCAGGGGTGTCAAACTGACGGCCCGTGGGCCGGATGCATCACGTGCAGGCCACGCCCATCTCAGCTCCACAAATAGGAAAAACATTGTGAAATGTCACGTGTCAGCAATGTGACGCCTCAAGTTTCACACCCATGTCCTAGATGACCAATTTTAGGAGCCGTAGATGACCTTGAGATGACATCAAGAAACTCATGCAGGTTGCTGCTGGACTCCTAGCTAGCTTATCTCCATGGCCCAATTCCACATATAAGCATTTGTAGCCAGCCACCTTCTCTTTCTCTTTGGTACTGTATTGAGAAAATTTCTGTACTATCCCTTCTGCCAGACCAATGTGTTGCAGTTACTGCAGGACCTGAAACTTAGCTGAGAATATTTTTGATAGTACTATATCCTGTCATTGCCTAATTTGGTCTTAGCAACACATGCCAGATCAATATATTCATCCACCACAATACTGTAGATGGACACAATCTCATTCTACACTGACCTAGCATTTACCAGCAGCAGCTGGAGGCACCTAATAGTACCATCACTTGGGCCCAGATCTGGGGCAACTGGCTTAGAAGAGATCACTTCTCCTGTAATGGCAAAATGTAACTAAAATGCATGAAAATTAGACATAAAGTGGGATTTTTAACAGCTGTTCTATGTTCTTTTGAACATTAAAAAATTTCAGTCACTTATGCTGAATCTTAACTATTTCTCCATTTCTTTTACTGAAAAGGCACAGATAAAAGGTCAGAGTTTCCTCAAAATCTGAATATGAAACAAGAAAATGCAGAGGTTGTTTTATCTTTAATTTAAACTCAGTCAGATTTATTCCTCCTTACTGAAAAGGATAACACATAAATGTTGCTGAAGTAAAGTATAAATTTATATTTGGATTTTATGAGTCTGAATGGAATACTTACCAATAAAAGAAACAGCCTTAGGATTAATTATACCACTAGGAAAGAGGTGAAAATCATATTCCTTCCCATCAACAACGACAGTATGACCTGCATTATTTCCACCCTACCAAAAAATAAAATAAGATATTTAAGTAATTTTTCATTGATTACTATTAGTGAAGAACATATCTACTGCTAGCAGAAAAAAAATTGTTGTGGTACTACAGCAGAGATAGATATTATGTCTTTAGGTTCCTCGTCTACTCTTCCTTCATTCGTCATTTGAGCATCACCCAGGTTTCTTGAATAATATGAAGATATATGGATAGTACCCTGTTTTCCCGAAAATAAGACATCCCCTGATAATAAGCCCAATCGGGCTTTTGAGAGCATGCACTAAGATAAGCCTCCCCCTGAAAATAAGCCCTCCCCAAAAATATTTAAATGCAGAGCTGGAAATCACATAAAATGGCAAGAGGAGCCACATCTTGCTCCATGTGCCTCAAAATAAGCAAACCTCCCTGAAAATAAGACTAAGCACTTATTTTGGGGTTCAAAAATTATAAGACAGGGTCTTATTTGGGGGGAAACACGGTAATAGGGTGGAAATAGTTTCAGACAGAAAAGAGACTATGCAACTAGCTTCTCGCTTCTCCTATAAATTGAAACCAACTAGCTGTTGGGCAACCAGATTTGTAACTTGTAGCCATTGTTTATTTTTAATTTTTATTTATTTATATGTCACCTTTACTATATTTATAAATAACTCAAGGTGGTGAACATATCTAATCCTCTCCTCTCCTCCTATTTTCCCTACAACAAAAACTGTGTGTGGTGGGTTGGGCTGAGAAAGAGTAAGTGGCCCAGTCACCCAGATAGCTTTCATGCTTAAGGTCTCTCAGTTTCTAGCCTGGTGCCTTTACCACTAGATTAGACCAAACTCACTCTTTTATATTTTTCTATTATAGTGATTGAAACTGGCAATTGAAGGGGAAACCACAAGCAACAAAATGCTTAATACCTTTTATTTTCTGAATGCTGCAAAGAGAATGACTATAGTGGAAGCTGACCTATGATCACACTTTAGAATTTATTGATCTTAAATGAAATTCAAATTAATATGGTAATAAAGCAGTAATGTCCCCAAACACGTATTTGATCATATTCACAAGAAGTTAGCTTATTTCAGCTTCAAGATTTGTTGCAACACAGCATTACAGAATTTACCATCCTGAAGCTGTGGTACAACAGTGATGGCTTAAGGAAGAAAATAGTATTTAAAAACAGGACACCTTGTGATAATTAAAGGTTATTACATCCATGGGCTGGGACAAGATGAGAGCAGTACTGTATCATGGAAAAACGGGCATTGCCAGGGCATAACTGTATCCTGATAAACTACAAATCAGGCCATGTCCTTATAGTGTTACCATTAACCTTTTGAGAGAGAAGCAAATTCCTGTTAAATATTTCTTTTAACAGTTTATTTGAGCAACGTGCGATGCACCTAAATGAAAAGCTCCAAAGACCTGGCCTGCAGGATCTGTCAGCTCAGAACAATAATGTCAATGTTAAACCTAAATGGTTAAAAGCTGCAAAACCACCTAGACCTGAACTTAGCTGTGGCTAGTTTTAAATCAACCAGCACATGGCCCAGGGGATTTGATCACTGTTACACAGATCGATTTCATAAGTTGAGCCTTTTGTGTCTTCTATATCGGCATGTCAGATCAAAAGACTATCAGGATTTACTTAAAAGCTCTTATTTGTTTTCTTTCCCATAATTTCTGTTACAGCAGTAGCACAAGGGCTAAAAGACATTAACAAAACTGCTGCAAAAAAAATTCCTTTTCTGATGTTATAGTAGTATTAACACAACTGTGTCGACTTCTACTTTCTTAGAGAACTAAGCCAAAGTAATTACATTTTGCTATTAATTTACCTGCAAATCTTAGAAAGCAAGGAAAAAGATTAAACAAATGCCATTTGTACTTAGTTGACTGCTTCACCTGTTACACAAAACAGCAGACTTATATTGTATTTATTTATTTAACCCATAGCTGAGCTTGAAGCACAAACAAGAGCCTAGGAAACCAACCTTGTTTTCTGACAGAGGTTCGGTAACTTTAAACTTGACCTTTTCATAGAATACGGGTGATCCTGCTGCAATTTTATAATTACCCAAGGAGAAAACCAAGTTTAAAATAGCAATGTCACCATTTTTTTTCTCTTAGCGCAAGCAGGTGCTTAACAGATGCTAGTTCTATAAGTTTCTATTTTGTATCAGTTTACTTGGCTTTTAAAAAGCAGCATGTGAAATAAATCATCTTATTAACATTTATTGTTCTAATCCTAGTCCCCATAAAATTTGGGCAAAACTTTATGGATTGCAAACGGTATATGTGCAATTATGGCAGCATGTGGTACATGTTTATACAAAACATTTATGTATTCGATTTGTATACCACCTGCATTAGTGTTTATACATACCTAGCTACCTTGCTGGTCATTGGTTAGGCACAACATACAACTTCCAATCTGAAGTTGTGACTTTGTTCAAAGCCTCTGCATCTCACGATGTTCCTTATTATTCCAATCCACCTTTGAATGTTGTGCATTGTGTGAAATGCACAATTTTCAAATAAAGGACTGGGATATGAATTTCCATTATTTTTCAGATTCCAGCCTGCTCTCTGGAACAGCATTCTGTCAGCAGTATGGATGGCACCCATTCTCCTGGGGTCCTGAAAAATACTTAAAACCTGGTTCTGTTCCCAAGCCTGGGGTTAATGTATTTGGGGGGTGAGGGAGACTGCTGTGTCATAGTTTATTGTGGCTATTTTTAATCCAAGCTATCTTGTTTTGTCTGTTTTTAATTGTTTCAACTCTGCATTAGATTTTGTAAGCTGTCAAGAATCTATTGGACTAGGTGGTGAAATAAATTCCTACTCAGACGTAAAATTCACCAATCGTTCACTACAGCTGAGGACTAGAAAGAATCAACATGTGACTAACACAAGTAGAAACCTCTGAGACTTTGAAATAAAGGCAGGTCATAATACATTAGAATGTTTAAAAGGTAGTACGTTATTCAAAGTGTTTAGTCATTCTAGTTTTACTAACAAAATTCAGGTTCCTACATCCAAAGACAAGAGTTTGAAATGTATGGTTTTTTTTAATCACAGTCATCATTACCACTTCATACCTGCTCCCATACTGCCATGCCCAGTTCCTTTTCCAATTCTTTACTACTCTGATTCATTCTGTATAAGGCCATGTCAGTTTAAGATTACAGATTTTGTAAAATCATTAAAAAGCTTATAAGAAGTCATTATAGTACTGTTATAGGAACTGAGCCATATCAGCTCACTATTCTATTCATGGTTTTTTGTCTTGTCAGGAATAGGAATGTGGTTATCATTGCCTTCTGCTGGGACAGTTTCTACTTCCTGGTCTATCCTACAGCCCTGGTGTTTCATGTCTGTCTTTGATCCAAGTACTAACCAGGGCTGACCATGCTTAGCTTTTGAGATCACCCAATGTTACTAGGTGCTCTCTTCTTTTTTACTACAATCTCATAACGTTGCCCTGGAAGATGCTGTGTATGCTAACTTTTCTTTACAACTACAGAATTGCTGGCAATTTTCATTGGCAGTCAAGGCACAGAAGAAAATGTTCAACTACTTTCTCCATATGCTGTTTTACAACTCCACCGCCACATGGTAGCTTCACATTCTGAACCAATCTCTAGAATATAAGCAGATATTTCATGTATCTAATTTGAATAAAAGAAAATAGGTAGGAAAGTTGTTTTCCAGCTTTAGGTATATTGTAGGATATGTTGCTGGCTGGTGAAAGTTCCCTAGAATAATTCCAGAACAATTGCTTTAGATCTTAAAACAATAAAATAAAATAAATTTAACTTATTTATTAGAACCTGCAATTAATTTAAAGCAGAATGAATGCAGAACTAGATGAAATGTAGTCATGTTTATTATTCAAAGTCCTGCCATATGTGTGTATTACACACCTACACATACACTGTCAGCTTTGGTACTTTGCACTCTTTTGCTTTAATGATGGTGAAAAATGATCATATGAGAAACTGTGCAAGAAAATATGCGAGTTCAGTTTTCTACCTTTAATCTTTCTTTCACAATTATTCCAAACTGCTCAGGGCAATATATACTCTTCATTTTCACAATAATCCTACGTATGAGGCGGACTATAGCAAGTCTGGATTCACACATTATGCTAAGTCACATTTTGTTCAACCACAAAAGAATACATTCATACAAGATCTTGCCATAAGCTACTGCTTACAAACTACACCAAGCTGCAGTAGAATGTATTTGGTTTGGTTTAGCACATTGTATGAAGCCAGTCTGAGAAAAAAAAAATATCTGTTCTTCTGGAGCTGCAGAACAAACTGAAACAGCATCCCTCCGGGGCTACACTGATATAATCCTTAAGATCCAAGGGCTCAGAGAGACATACTTCCCACACACAATGTTGATCAAGTGATCAAAGTTGGCTTCAAATACTGTACCATAGCATAGAAGCATGAAGCCGATGAGTCCAAAGCAACGCCTAATAAATCTCCACTGTGCTCCTCTGCTCACCTTCAACCTTTCTTGCAGACAGCCGTCACCAGACACCCCGGCATATGTGCCACTCTCCAGACGCACACAGTTTTGGTAGGTTCATCATGCTTGTCTGTACTTCTAGATCTTATGTCATTTGTCACCAAGGCTCAGCTATTTCTATTTATAACCCAGAACTGTTTTCCCCTCCACTTCCCAGATGGCATTTAGTCTGTAGCCAGTCTTAAAAAGCCTCCTTCCCTTTCTACTGCAGCTTCATTCTAGACATGGGTAAGAAAGACATGCATCAGAAGCAAAAGACAAAAAAGGAAGTAAATTTCAAAAACAAGAATAAATGAACTTAGCTCAAATTATGGGAGTGCATTATGTGCAGAGGTAGCCTTAGACTAATGGTACATTTTCAGACTAGCCCACTTCACAAGGCTGCTATGAAGATTACAAGAAAGGCCAAAAGAAATGTTAGTTGCAGAGAAACGACAGGGAAAAAAAGAGGAAAAAAATAATAATGAAGTAAATTTTGAACAAAACTAGCACTTGAGCCAGGATAGAACAAAACAGAAAATACTACCTAGTGACAGGGAAAAATTTACCAGAAAGTTTAAGAAAACACATATTAGGCCCACCAGCCAGGTAATCCATTTCTCTCCCGTGTACAATTACAACTCATAACTGGATAACGTAAGTGGAAACAAGGGGCTACCTGATCCAATATTCTGAAGAGCAAAAGCAGGGGAAGGATGCATTCACAACGTGGAGGAAATTTTAAAATACAATTTAAAATAAAAATTTGAAATAAAAGGAACAAGAATCAGAACAGAGAAGCAACATGTAATCACCAATATTTCAGTATGCCCTTGTTTCTTTATTTTTCCATTGCACCTTAATCCGCACCAGTGTTCATACATTCCAGGGACCAAACGTTTCACCTGCGCAGGTGAACAAGTGCATCCTAAAAGCCACAGCAGCAAAAACCAGCGGGGAAATTGGCTCCTGTGTAGCAGACAAGGAGACCGGTCGGGGTGCTGCCCTTTCTTGTCCCGGGGCAGCCCTTACTCACCTGGCACCTACAGACGAGGTCGGCTTCGGTGGCCAGGAGATCCACCACTTTCCCTTTCCCTTCGTCGCCCCACTGAGAGCCTAGCACTACCATCACACGGTTGCCGCCCGGCTCACTTCGCAGCCGCTTCAAACCGACGCCGAGAGCAGCGCCGGCGGCAGGGCGAGAGGCGCGATCGTTGGAAGCTGCCACAGCCGCCCGGGTGCCCGACATCGCGGCAAACAGGTCGCTCCTACGAGGCAGCTTCAAGCAGCCACTCGCGCGCTCGCTCCCCCCCCCCCGGCTCGCTCCTCGCCTTTTAAGGACACCGGGAGCCAACCAGAGCGCGGCCAGCGCTTTGACGTAGGCGGGGAGGGTCGCTCTCGCCCTCGCCGGTGGGTGTCGTGGATTTGAATGGAGAGGGTGGGAATTGGGTTTGCAAGGATAGACGCATAACTGAAAGGATGGGAAGGGGGAATCCGCGGGGAAAGCGAGGGGCGGCTGCAGGCCTCGCGGGGGCAACCTGTTCAACCTGTGGCTGTATAAGGATGCACACGCGCGCCCTCGCGCGAGTTGCATAGTAATTACTGTAGCCCAGTGTTTCTCAACCTTGGTAGCTTGAAGATGGGTGGACTTCAATTCCCAGAATCCCCCAGCCAGCAGTGCTGGCTGGGGGATTCTGGGAGTTGAAGTCCACCCATCTTCAAGCTACCAAGGTTGAGAAACACTGCTGTAGCCGGATAAAGGCTACAGATATTACAAGAATAGCAACAGCATACAGCGTTGAGGGAGATTGATGTGTATGATACACAGACAGACAGACACACACAGAGTACAGGTAGTTCTCAATTTATGACCACAATCGAGCCCAAAATTTATGTTGCTAAGTGAGAAATTTGTTCAGTGAGTGTGCTCTGTTTTACGACCTTTCTTGCCACATTTATTTATTTTTATTTTATTTTATTTCAAATTTATATACTGCACCTTCTCCCAAGGGACTCAGGGCGGTGTACAGCCAGATAAAAACATACAATACAAACATTAAAAACTATTAAAAGGATATATATTAATTTGGCCCCAATTTAAGATAACAAACCAATTAAAAAATATTTAAAAATATGTTAAAAAATATGTTAAGCCAGCCTGGCTTGCTGAAAAAAGAAAGTTTTAAGGGCACGTCGGAAGGCATGTCGAGGTCTTGGATTCTCCTTATCTCTGGGGGCAGCTGATTCCAGAGGGTAGATGCCCCCACAGAGAAGGCCCTCCCCCTGGGAGTCACCAGCCTACATTGTTTGGCTGATGGCACCCCGAGGAGAGGTGAATCAATGCAGTTCTTAAATTAGCAACACAGTTGGGAAGTGAATCTGGTTTCCCCATTGACTTCCCTTTTCAGGAAGTCGCCAAAGGGGATCACATGATCCCAGGACACTGCAACCGTCATAAATGTGAGTCAGTTGTCAAGCATCAAAACGTAAATCACATGACCATGGGGATGCTGCAACGGTCATAAGTGTGATAAATGGTCATGAGTCACTTTTTTCAGTGCTGTTGAATGGTCACTAAATGAACTGTTGTAAGTCGAGGGCTACCTGTATATACACATGTGCACACACATAGTGCTTCAGGCTAGGGATGGAGGTAATTGAAATGAAGGACTTTTTAGGAATGCTTTCAGAATGTTCATTAGAAAAAATAATTGCAAATATTAAAATATAACGCCAAGGGAGTCAACATGGCAGGACTGCTGCACCTGAGGGAGAAGCCTTACATGGCAGCCACATGGGGGACAAGTAATGGCATGTGCATTGTTTGATGATGCTTGTGCTGTCCTCAAGGGTTATCTGGATGGGTTGGAGGAAGCAACTTGAACAGCTTCTCATCCATGTGGCTGAGCAACTTACTGTACAGCTTGTAGATACCGTTGTTGGCTGTGTTTGCACGACACCCTAAACTATAAACTACATTCTGTCTTCTCATGTTGCATGAACTTAGTCCCAGGTCATCCCCAGGAAAAAAAAACTAAAAAGCCAAGATGGTCCCCACAACCATGTAATACATATTTTAAAGGGTGGATAGCTTCAATCACATGGTCACAGCTGTTATCTTGACTTTTTTTAAAAAAAATCCTTTTCCTCTAGGGTGCCCTGCTCAGTCCAATTGTTTATTATTTAAAATATCCTATGTAATCCCAGGGACTAGCTTGTCTTGTCATGCAGATTCCCCAAACTATATTAATTGCATAAGCCAGGGGTCAGCAACCCGTGGCTCTGGAGCCGCATGTGGCTCTTTCATCCTTCTGCTGCGGCTCCCTGTTGCTGGTCGGCTCCACAATTGATAGGGCTTTCGGTTAGGACCGGTAGAGGAAAAAAGGAGGCTGTGCTAGGAGGAGACTCTATGGTGGGGGAACTGGACTTTCAGTCGGCTCTAGAATTGAATTGGGGCTTCCGGTTAGGATCTTTGTGGCTCTTTGAGTGTTTAAGGTTGCCGACCCCTGGCATAAGCCATGAACAATAGGTAAGGATGTCAATGTCCTAGAAACACAGCTATTGACTTTTGTCAGGGGATCCTAAGTACCACTGGTACAGACACAGTACAGAGGAATAAAGGTACAAAGTTTCAAGACCAAGAAAGCAAGGCTGTTGGTGTATAGTCTGCTGGAGAGGTTACAGAAAAAGGCTGTAACAAAGGTTGCTTGAAGCTAAAGCTCTTAAACATCTGAAAAATCACTGCATCTTCATCCTATTATGATGACACCAACTAATTGCTGACTCATTCCTGAGAATCCAACAACCATTTCTTCAAAAACATAGCGTTTTAGAAAAATCTTAGATATAATACTAGGTTTTTAGATTGTCTGTATTATCTGAAGAGCTTCATTTATTTATAATGCAGCCCTTTCAGATGAGAATAGATGTACAGTATAGAAGTCCTCCTAGAAAAGAAGCAGTATTGCAATGACACCTGTAAAGACATTGAAGGTGGAAACAGAAATGGAAAAACAAGGAATGTCTTCCAAAAGATCTCCAAACTCAGAGAGAGGTTCTCATCTTGAATTGGTTTTTTTTTTTTAATTTGATTTATATGCCGCCCTTCTCCAGAGACTCAAGGCAGCTTACAATGCGTTAAGCAGTAGCCTTCATACTTTTGTATATTTTATACAAAGTCAGCTTATTGCCCCCACAATCCGGGTCCTCATTTTACCTTAGAAAGGATGGAAGGCTGAGTCAACCTTGAGCCTGGTGAGATTTGAACTTGCAGTAATTGCAGGCAGCTGATGTTAATAACTGTTAATAACAGTGCTTTAGTCTGCTGCGCCACCAGGGCTCCTTTCCTTCAGGGTATGCTGAAGGATATCAGTTGTCAGATAGCAACTGATTTAGAGAAGATAAAAGAAAAGTGGAATGGAGATGTCAACACCCAAAGTACCTTTAAACCTATTCTTTACTTTGCAAAAACCTTTGAAGTTACTTTTTATTTACAAGAACTTCTAGTACTAGAAGATGAAGTCAGACTGGCTGATAGATTGGAAGATATGTGTCTATATATTGATGTTAAAGAAAGAACATTTAACATAATTAAGAATCAGTTTGATGCAGTGGTTAAGGCATCAGGCTAGATGCTGGGGGCGTGTGAGTTCTAGTCACACTTTAGGCACAAAACTAACTGGGTCACCTTGGGTCAGTGTTCTTTCTCATTCCTAGAAAGGAGGTAGGGACAAACCACTTCTGAAAAACCTTGACAAAAAAACTACAGAAGCTAGTGCAGGCTGTTTCCAGAAGTCAAAAACTGACTTGAAGTCATGTGCACATATGCATGCATGCATGCATACACAACACACACACACTTAATTCCACATGCTATCTACATGCAGTGGTATGCTGCTAAATGTTTTACAACTAATTCTACAAAAAAAAAAATTTCTCTTCGTTGCCTCCACCATACCTTGCTGTTAGCTGCTAAACAGCTAATTTGTGTGCCAGCAATCTTGGCTTAACTCTGCTCTTAACTAGCTCGCAAACTAGTATGAACTGGCTCCAGTACACTACTGCCTATATGGAAAGGAAAATGTTCAAGCTTGATTTAGAAAAGACTGAGGAACAAGAAAAATCATTTCTAATATAATCTGGTTAATTGAGTAAAACCAAATAATGCAACAAATAAGTCAAGATGTATTTAATTAATTTTAGTTTCCAAGTATTCAAAGGCAGCCCCATATAGATTAGTTATGTGCCATCAATCTGTTTTTAACTCCTAGAAACCACATAGATAGATTTTTGCCCATGATGGTTGATCCCAGCCTGTTTTTTCAGGCCTCCCCACAGTTCACTCATTGCCATTTTAACTGAGTCCATCTACCTTACTGGTGATTGGCCTCTTGTCTTTCTTTCTACCTTTTTCCAGGTAGAGCTCCACGTATAAAAGATATAATACATAGGACCAACTCAAAGCAAGTTATAGAGGACAAAAAGTTTGCTCAGGAAGATTTCTGAAGATGTGGAAAACTACCAGACTGAGAAGTCTGCAGAAGACACAATGAGGTATGTTTTGCATAAGAAAATATGAACCTCAAAGCAGCAGATAATTCTCATATGAATTGGATAAAGCAGTTGTGAAAAAATACTATATCAGAAGGTATATGAAAAGTGTCAGTGTGAGACAGGCCAAGTACTGATGGGAAGCATAAAAATGTATGGAATTGTAGTCACTTGGAACAGGGAAACAGAATGAGGTATAGAGTAGAGAATAGAGTAGAGTAGAGTAGAGTAGAGTAGAGTAGAGTAGAGTAGAGTAGAGTAGAGTAGAATAGAATAGAATAGAATAGAATAGAATAGAATAGAATAGAATAACATTATTGTCACTTTGAATGTACACTGGTCGGCATATATTAAAATGAAATTTCATTGCATACAGATCTCAGAGGGTCACCACCTCCACCAAATGTTCCATCTTTTCTTCTGGAATTCAGAACTGGTCCAGCCAGTTGTGTAATAATGCATGAATGTGAATTAATTGACCTTTTATTTCAGAAGTGAACAATACAATTTATAGATTTTTCCCCCTACATGGCTAAATCTCTGGGTAAAAAGAAATAAATAGACAGAACAATTTTTTACTCTAAATATGACAGAAGAATGAAGAAAAAATGTTAACAGAGCCACAACATCATTATTTGCAGAAAGGGCATGCCTTTATTCTTTATTTATAATCTACTTTTAAACCAACAAATATAAATCCAGTTATTCCCTAAAATCCATTATTGTGACATACTGAGGCAAAAAAGAGAGAAACAGAACAAAGA